CTTTGCTGCTATCTTGTTGTAGTCGTCCCTTGAAGTGTTGTCAGACCGAACGGATGAACTCCAAGAGTCTGTGTTAGGAATGAGGAATCGCTTGAAAACAATGCAGTGTGACCTGGAGGGGTTACATAAGATGCTGGCGGGAGTCGTCAAGAAACTTGATGCCAACGTCGAAGGAGACGACGATGAAGACGATAAGTTGTTTTAGTCCGTGACTTTTTGTGATAAACTGTTCGCTCTTTAGAGCAGGCTACATCCGTCGAAGGGGTAACAAAGCAATTATAAGTTTCTTTGCTCAATTGCTCTTTTGTGCTAAGCAGCGCGATAAAAGTTTCTGTGAAGGCGCTTTGTTTTCTGGAGTCAATATTTTTACAGCTTCGCCATACTTCAAGGGATGATGAATAAGATATATTTTTTTTATAATCAATTTCAATAAAAAAACATGCTCAAGATGAAGTGCAACATTTAGCAAATAGGTTTATTCAATTAAACTGTCAGAACCAACCGAACTCAAAATTTTCCTAGTAGTTAAAAATACTAAGATTTTATGACGCAGTCCTTTTTTCGTCCAGATCCTGATTAGGAATAGTCCTCTCACTCCAGCTGTCGGATTCTGTGCTATTAAATCTTCGAACTAAGGACTTGACAGTAATAAACTTTCTGAGGAATGTTATTCTGCCTCCCTTCTCAAAACTGGTTGTCGGCTTTTCATCGATTTCCTTACCTACCATGTCTAGAAGTACAATTCTTGGATTTAGAGGCTTGGGTCGAACAAATCGTCGATCGTACGAACAGGGAAGAGTGAACACGATGTCTGTCTGAGACCTGGGAGCTAGATCAGGTGAAGTTATCTCCTCGGACTCGCAGTCAGGCTCATCATCCAAATACTCGCGCTTAAATTTAAGTTTAGAGGCACAAGTAAGGCTAATGCACCTTTCTCTTTCCATCCCCAAATCCCCTTCGTTAGGTTTAGGAGTTGAACTGCGCGATTTGTTATTAAAAGCACGCCCCTTATATACACCTGCAGACATTTCACTTAGTACCAGTTGATCCCACTTACAAATACCACCTGTGAGAACACGGCTGACATCCTGCGCAGCTGGGGTCTTGGATTTCTGAACCACAGTTCACGCGTTCAGTGCGAGCGCCATACTCCTGCAAAATCTTCCCGTTTGATTTTTTCCAAGCTCTCTCCAAACTCGTCACTTTCTTCGTCTTCGGTCTTCTCGTTACTCCGGCTTTCTTGGAGTACTTGTTTTGCAGCTCTAATTACTTCAAATCTGTCCGCAACCTTTTTAACCTCAAGAGCTCGCTTGCATTTCTCACAAGAATCATTATTGCAGTTACGCCTCAGGTTCAGCGATCTCCAGTGGAAAGATTTCAAATCTATCCGCAGCTTTTTTTACCAAAAGAACTCGCTTGCATTTCTCACAAGAATCACCACTGCAGTTATGCCCCTGGTTCAGCGATCTCCAGTAGAGAGATTTCAATTGCCGACCATCTACTCTCTGAGTTACCTCAGTGCTGACTTCACCACTTACTTCTCCCAGTTGTTCTTTCTCCAGAAATTCTCCATCCTTCACCCCTTTAC